TGGGTACTTACCTGGAAATACTCATAAAATTGTTAATCCGAAACTCGCGTAAGTATAGCGAATAGACTGTATATATCTAGTTGTACCCCTACTCATACAGCACACATTATTTCAGAAGTGTTTCAGAAATATTTCAAACGTTTCAAACATATAACATTTCAAGCACAAGTTACTGAAATATTTCTGAAATATATTAGTTGAATATTTCACTGAAAATGTTTCTGAAACATGATATACATGCTACGCAAAAGGTTACTAAACGGGTTATGTTGTAAATGGCCAACACTTAATGTTGAATTTCTGATTTGTAAGAAGATCAAGATGGGATATGAAGTTATTTTATTTCATCCTGTCCAGCCAGAGACAACCCTATATTCTAAATAATATTTTAAGGGGTAGTTTTGGGGTAACCATGATGACAAAAAAGTTCTTTATAGTTATAAAGTTATACCTCAAAAACACCCCTTAAAATATTTTAATTAATTTTTACTCGCCCCCAAAAAAAATGCTCCTAAAGTTAAATGATTGCATGGAAATTAAATTTTTTAGAAATTTGTAGTTCCACTTTGGGCTTCCGTAACTCCTTAGGGGTACAACTTGGCGTTAAATCATCATATTTTGAAATGCCCAACACGCACCTGTTCTGTGGAACACCCGTATTTAAAATTACTTAATTAAAAAAACATTTTTTTTTTTTAAAATTAACTATTAGTGATTTGTATGTTAAAATTAAAACGAAAAAATGTAGTTTCCGTGTTCCTGAGAATTTTCTGCAAACTGAGTGGGTGTAATGACCGCACCTTGCCAAAATATTGATTTCTGGGATCCCAATCCAAAGTCTTACGCAAACTTCTGAGAACATACAGATCAGATGGACAAATTTCTGCTATTCTATTTGTTCAATTATCGTTAGGTACAAAAGATTATCTAAATTAAGTTTAAATTTAAAATAGGGCATTATTCATTTAGATTACCAGATATAGTCCAATTAAATAACGAAAAAAAGCCCCTTCGAGCTTACATTAATTTGTAATTAGATGAAACAAAAAGGACCTTGTGCCTTTTCAAACTTTCGAAAAAAAAAATATTTTTTTTTAAGGAAAAAAATGTATTTAATTGTTTGATATCTTAGCCAATTATGATCCGATGTCGGTGAAACTCACAAACACATAAGATTTCACATTTAAGAGTAAGATTTGTAAGTGGTATTAAAAAAATTCAAATAGTTTGGCCGTTATAGGCAAACAATGAAATTAGGACCGCGGTACACTTTGCCCTTCCGCCATATGCCCAATTTTGGGATTTCTTTGGCCCCCTTCTGGGAATTACTAGTCACATCCCTTAAGTTCAAAACGCATTTTTGTTTTTTTAAATATCTTAATTTTTACCAATGTTATGAAGAATTTAGTGTTTGAACATTTAACAAATTCAATTTTTCGACCTTCTTCGCCTCAAAATACTAAACAAATTTCAATCGTCTATACCGCGAGAACGGTGCATCGGATAAAAATTTCTCAAGAGACATAAAAATTACCATTTTCCCTAAGCTTTCAAATGTCGTAAACTGCGTTTTAAAAATATTGATTTATTTCCGACATGCGCCTGCGCAAAACTAAAAAATTGACAAAATCCAAAATTTCGGCACTTTCGAAAAACTGCTACATTTTGTTTTGCCTTTTTTCGAAAAGATCACCTCAAAATACATAGAATCCATTTTGTTTCATCTAATTACAATTTAATGTAAGCTCAAAACCCGTAATTTAATTCGATTAATATTATGACCGTTATCTATATTAATAGTGTATGGTGGGTTGCGTATTAATCTAAAATAGTGTGTGAATGAGTTGCGCTAACCCTTGACTACTCGTAGAACTTATGTCCATTTTAATCAACTCCAATACTGGCTTTCAGAGAAAACGAATAAGAGGTGGTTCGAATCCTGTAGCACACCTTGCAAATATTTATTTAAATTACATAGTTCGTTGTAAGATTTAATGGGTGGCGTATTAACAGTAATCTAATTTCTTATTGATTCGATATTCATATTTCAGTCCCAATGAAACATCGTGACAATAATGGTTCATGCGATTTTGTACTGTCAAATGGTGGGTAATGTGTAATAATAAAAAAACAAGGGTATTCCTTGAGAGTTATGTAAATGTTATCATACTGTTTCTATGGCTTTTAAATGTTGTTAATTTAGAATATTTTATGAATAATCTTCTTGTAAAAGACATTTTTTCTTTATTATATTATATAGCAGAATTAAATAAAATATCTACAATATTCTATATTGGAATGCTGTCTGTTTTTGTATAGAATTTATAAACAGTACTATTGGTCAAAAAGATACTATCGAATCGCCTGTTTGATTATGTGCCCGACACAAAGCTATTATTCAGTAGTTAATATTAATATGGTAAAAGACCTGCAAGTTTTCATTAATAGGCCATTAATTGTCAATATATTTATTTCTAGACATTAAATGGAAAACTAAGGCTTATATTAACTAGATTTTATAGCTAAGTAACTTCGGCCGGTTTAATAAATAAATAAAAGACATGTATTTGCAAACTACCCTATATATTACGTATAATTGGAATAATAAGAATTCTATTTGGTCGAAGACATTGTTACGATATCCCTGAGTCTAATAATCAGTCTATTGATATAGAAAATAATTACTAAAAAGTACATGATACAAATCTATATTTATATACCAAAATGACATTATAAATTCTCAATATTATTTATATTTTCACACAATAGCTAGATAGAAAATAGAATACATATTGAATATTACTGCTGATACTAAATAATAAAACTTTAGATGAAAGCAACGAGAAAAGGTTTATTTTTTATATTAAATAAAGACATTGAAATTATTTTAGAAAACACTTTTCTCAGTGTAGCATCGTAGATTTTATTTTAATTATCTAACCTTTTGTACACAACTAAACACTATTTTAAGCATGTGTATTATTAAGTAATTAATACAAAATGAATTTTAAGTCGCAATTTCAGGTACACTAAGAAAACGTTGAACTTAAGTGATAGATACTACATGTAAAAAAAAATCTTAAGAGTAACCGTTTAAAAATAATATCTTTATAAAAATGAGGTAGATCATTTGTATATCCTACTACACTGGGTAGTTCAGGTAGTCCCTAACCTAAAAATTAAATTCGAAAAGATGAACATATATGACTAAAAAGTCCCAGGTATAAGTCAGATTTTGCCCAGTCGGGTAAAATTTGAGATTACGTCTAGAACCATAAAAACAGATGGTGTATTTCTTATTTAACGTAGGTGCCCTTAATTTCTCCATTTTGTAGTCGACGCCATATTAAAAAGAATGTTGCAGTGTAGCCACACTCTACGAAAAATATCTCCTTTTACAAAAAAAAAATATATAAAATTAGAAAAATAAAACTGCAAATAAAATACGTCCAAAATAAATAATTTTATCATAATTTGAATAAAAAATATAAAACAATTTAAAAAACAATGAAAAGTCAATAAATAATTTACAGGGCGTTACAAAAATTATTTAGGGCTTTGCATTTTTGCAACACGCTGTACAGGGTGTTTCAGAAAAAAGTAAATTGAAAGGCTCACGAAATATACAAAAAAATTACTTTAATTTCCAGGGGGGGGGGACATGGGGGCATGAAGCCGCCCTTGGATGCTGCATTATCAAAAATAAGAAATATCGTTATTATTTTAAAGTAACAAAAAAATATCAATACATACAAAATCTCTAAAAGAGAATCTACATTTTTTGTAATATAATTATTGTAAAAAAAAGAGTTTGACATGTATTTCCTAAACGATTAGTTGTGAACCACTCAGTGGCGTGCCTCAAGAGAAACAAAAGTGAACAAAATTATGTATATCAAATACTAAATCAAACCCTTCAGGCAAATTTTCTCAACACACTGGTAAAAATGATTTTTTTCAAGCAATGGTTCGATACTTATGGATTTAGAAGAAATTTGTATTTAATTATTTTAATATTCGTAAGGTTATTGGCCACTTTTTTCTGAAACACACTGTATAATTAAAATTATATAAAAATAATTACAAATTTTGAATTTGCGCCTCAAGAACAATGGTGTCGTACTACGTCAAATTTTTAATACTAATACCTTATTTTATATATGGCATATGAAAAAAATATATGTTTTTTTATGAAAATTACAAATTTACAATTTTTTAAGACATTACAGATTATCTTTATTCTCTCATACACCAATTTGTGAAATTGTCACTTTTGTAATGTACCTATAAGTACCAAATTTAATTTATACAAAAATATACAGAATATTGCGTAATGAAATAAAAATACCATTTTCATTGAGTTAAGCAACACCCTGTATGGTTTGTCACAGCACGATATGTAAATTCGATAGTTTCGCTATATTATACAGAACCGACTTTATTGTAGTAGGTATAACCTGTATAATAATCTCCATGGTGTTATTGGATTGCACTTACTCTTTTGGCAAAATAACTTTTTTCCAAAAATATCCGAATATTCTCAATTAAATATTTTTTCAAATCAATTAATGCAACTTCTACAACGTGATTAATTTTAATTAGCAGTAAAGAAATTAAATTAATTTATAAAAATGTCCTTCATGTACTATCTTTTAAATATCGCCAAGTTTCAATCTTATAAGTAGCTAGTAAAAATCGAATTAAATATTCAGTACTTATTTTTTAAAAATGTATGAAAATTTATTATGTAAGATAAAAAAAAATTAAATAGGTACCAAATAATTAAAAAGGAAATATAAAATGTATGTGCTGACACCTAACGTTCAAACACTGAATAACTTGAACACATATGGTAACTTAGTGAGAGGATTATCACTAGTTGCCATTTTTTTACCAAATAACTTCAATTATTAATCTATATTCTGACAAACTATATATCCTATTTTTCTTTATCTTATTTTAACAGCTAAAAATCATATAATATAAAATTTACTTCAATATATTCATCTCTAAATGGTAAAAAAATGGCGCCGCCGCCATCCTCTCGATCAACACAATCATTATGAAACTATCGCTCTCTGCTCTCCTATTCCGTCGCTTGCGCCCCAGCACCAGAGATGGCGCCGCCCGCATCGCTCGACCCAGATGCCGGTGGCGTGCTGCCGTTTCCGTTCTGCTCGCCTCCGGAGGTGTCGCCGTCAGTGCCGCCTCCGGATTTGGGCAGCCGTTCCACCCTCGTGGGACAATCGGCTATCAAGTGATCTTCACTTTTGCAGTTGTGACAGCGCTTCGGCTGTGGGCCCAGTTGACATTTGGCTGCTATATGATTGGCGAATTCGCCACAGTTGTAACATCTAGAACATAACGAGGAGTAGGAAGTAATTAATACAGTGTAAAAACAAAAGAGTTAAACATAAACTTATCCAGAAAAAAAGAACTCGCATGAACTTGGTGACTGTTCAAAGGTTTAAATTAGGCCATAACAATAATGTTGACCATTTTCGGTCTCATTATCAAAAAATATATGCTAAACTGTTTATTATTGTTCATAGGGCACGGTAAATAGTGTAAACCAACTCTCACATATACATAAATATACATACCGTATTTTCCTAAAGCGCTTTTTCGAAACCGGCCTTCTATGTGATCCCCTGCAGTCTACGTTTTGGGGTCCTGTAACTTTAGTTGCTTCCAGTCCTTTGTCTGATATTTGGCATTCAAATTCCACCTCTTCTTCGTCTCCTAACGATCGAAAACCGCTCATTTGGATAACACTCTATAACAAAAATAAAAAGAATATAACTAATGTTTACCAATGTGGACATTACAACTAAAGGAAAAACACATAAATAATAACTAATTAATACATAATAAACAAATCAAAATAACAACTAATAATACAAAGAAATACAAATGTTGGAAATGAAGTAATAAACCTTATTGCTACTAAAAACTCAAATAGTTGTTCAAAATGACCTCCATTTTGTTCAATGCATTTTCTTGCTCGTTTTAAAATATGGTTGACGGCTTTTCTGAGTACATCGGGATTATTTTTCATTTCTTCGCACGCGTTTTCTATCCTCCCAACTAGTTCTTCCCTACTATTTGTGGGAGTGGAATATACTTTTGTTTTTAGATGTCCCCAAACGTAGTAATCCAGCGGATTAAAGTCAGGCGATCTTGAAAGCCAGTGTATGTAGTATACGAAAGGAGGTATTTAGAACCTAACGTTACATTCGTAAATAATAAATAAGTATAATTATTTTATTATTAGATTATCTTATAGGCTTTGGAATTGGCATTTCACATTTTTATGTCACTTGTATTTGCATCTTCTGTCAGTCATTATTGTTTTTTCAGTATTTTCACTAGTAATACCACTAGAGGTCAAAAAATTTCCTGATATTAATTTGACCTCGCGTGGTATTCGGTAAGAAAATTCCACGCCGAATTATGGTTGAAAATTAAATATTTTTAAAATTTATTTTTCGTTTCTCAACAATGCAAATTATTTTCTCCAAGTCACCAGTGAAACATAAAAGGTGTTGTCGCCTTGATTGTTGAGTTGTCATGGTAACTAAGTGAGACCCTAACCTCGAATGTAATTTCAGTTTTGAAGTTGTCAAGCGGCCCGACGTAAAAAAATGTTTCGCTGCAATTATTTAGGCCTTCAAATTGCTTATTTCTACTCATTGTAGTTGCATGGGAATACCATTTGAAAATAGAAAATAGTATATTCTTTAATTTTACGTAAGTTTTGAATAACTACAAGTGGTAGAAAATTGTTTTTCTGCGTTTTTATTAACATGCGTTATGAGCGCTTTAAAATGGTATGAAATTCATAACCAGCGTCAGCAAGCATCAATCGTAGGAGGCTGTGATCATTGTATTTTGACAGTTCAAAACATTAAATAACTCGCGTTTTGTTGCGATAAAGAATATTGCACAGCAAGTAAAACCAACAAAATTACCTATTTGTTTAAAAATGAATCGATTTGAAAATCATACGCTATGCAAAATATGCGTGAAATTGTCTGATGTAATGATCAATCATTGCACCATGACTTATTTACTCGGATTAATAGAGGATTGTGGCTCCAACTTGAAAAACGAAAATTTGTTCCGAATTGTCCACGAATATTTGCACCTAAACTACGCAAAATTCAAAGTGCTGAATGGGAAAAAGGTGAATAAATTAGTGTCTAAATATTATATATATTTTATTAGACATAGACACATAATTCAAAGCATCCAAAGTCCTGCATTTTCGCCATTAAGAAGAAAAGAAGTGGTCGAAGAATATAGAAAACACCTTAGCATTGTAACTAAAATGTATCAAAACTAAACCTATTATGTGAACAAATAAAAACCAGTCTGTCAAAAATGGTCTGTTATTGTAAACGTCAAAAAATTTCCAGTATAATTCGCTGTTGGGTACCCCACGAGAAAAAAAATTCCACTAAAATACCTCCGTTGCCATGGTGATCTGTCAAAAACACGTATTTTGATTGGTTCAAAATTACAGGTGTGGAATTTTCCGTGATATTTTTATTGTATTTGGTAATTATTAAAAATGCCATATCAATATACTAACGAAGAATACGCAGATATGATTTACATTTATGGTTTTTGTGATGGTAATTCTCGAGCTGCAAAAATGGAATATGAATTGAGATTTCCTGGTCGAAAATCACCAAATTTCAAAACTTTTATTCGCGTTTTTAATTACATGAGAAGATATTGTAGATTCCCAACAGCTCAATTAAACGAGCATCGTGAAAGGCAGCATTTGAATGTGGAACAAAATATTATAAATATGGTTAATAATAATCCAGAACTGAGCACAAGGAGAATTAGTTATGCATTTAATGTACCTCATACCATACCATACGACTAAAAAAACATCGTTTACACCCATATCATATTCAGGAAGTACAGAGGTTAGAAGCAGGCGATGAAATTCCTAGAATTAATTTCAGTAGGTGGATCCTCTTAAATCGGCGAATTGTACGTAGATGCATATTTATGGATGAGGCCCAGTTTACAAGAGACGGCGTTGTTCAATTTACGAAACTCGCACATTTGATCGACAGAAAATCCATTTGCTGTAAAGCCTTGGTTTCTTTGAACACACCGACGCGGTGAGCGGACTGTCCGTCGACCGTCGCGTTTTGACGATTTTATCTAACCAGAGTATTTAAATGGGAACGGTTTTCTCGAATCCGCTTAGCTGAGCAGGACGGCGTCAAGCCGCTGATTTGTCGCGACTAGTCGGTTCATATCTGTTGAGTTTGATATCGGCGGAATAGTCGGAGTGTGCGGAGACAGTGTGTGAATACAAATAATTATATTGTTATTATTTTTAAAAAAATTAGTGACAAATTCACACATACAGATCATGAAATCTTAATAGATTTGGTTCGACAACATCCTCCTTTATACAGTGTGACAGGAAATGTCGTCCTTTACAAAACTCAACAGTACAGTGATATTAAAGGTACCTTCTGTATCGTGACACAAAAACAAACTTATCCACTGGCTTAATTGAAACTTTGACTGTTGCAATTGCCAGTTCCTCTTCTTCTTCCTCCTCTTCCAACATAAATAGCAACGAACCCATTTATTTGAGTCCATTTTAGTACCTTTCGTTTCTACTCATAATACATAAACAGCACATACAGACAAAAAAAGTCTCATTTTCTATATTTAAACAAACCAACTTGGGCGAAAATCGCTGTCCTCAGCGGTCGACGGAGTATCTGCTCATCGCGATGAAGTGTTCAAAGAAACCAAGGCTTAAGAGAGACCCATTCACAATACAAATTTTCAGTAAATATTTGGTGCGGCGTTTTTGATAATAAATTAATTGGACCACATATTTTCCCTCACAGACTGACTGGCGAAGTTTATTTAGATTTTCTTCAAAATATGTTGCCTGTTCTATTAGACGATGCAGATGTAGATATAGCCGGTGTATATTTTCAACATGATGGTGCTTCACCGCATTACCGGCTAATTGTGAGAGAATTTTTGAATGAAAATTTTCTTAATACGTGGATAGGCAGAGGTGCTCCCAATCACTGGCCTTCAAGATCGCCTGACTTTAAACCGCTGGATTATCACGTTTGGAGATATCTAAAAACAAAAGTATATTCCACTCCCATAAATAGTAGGGAAAAACTAGTTGAGAGGATAGAAAACGCGTGCGAAGAAATGAAAAATAATCCCGATGTACTCAGAAAAGCCGTCAACCATATTTTAAAACGAGCAAGAAAATGCATCGAACAAAATGGAGGTCACTTTGAACAACTCTTGCAGTTTTTAGTAGCAATAAGGTTTATTACTTCATTTCCAACATTTGTATTTCTTTGTATTATTAGTTGTTATTTTGATTTGTTTATTATGTATTAATTAGTTATTATTTATGTATTTATGTATGATGGTGGGTGAGGTTTTCCGGGTTTTCCTCACCTGTAAGTCAAATGGCACCATCAATCATCTTTAAGTCGCCCCGGAGCGCCACGGCAAATAATAATAATAGCCGTCCCTTCCCCTACACAAGTCGTTCAGTCGACTTCAGAGGTTGAAATTCACTCGTAAGGGGGTGAATTAGGGAGAGTATTATTATTATTATTATTTTTCCTTTAGTTGTAAATGTTATTATTTGATCTACTGAATGTTAGTTTTTTTTTTTCATATTATTATCCTACATACTATTTATTAAAACTTACATGGAATAATTTATACAGGGTGCGGTCGAAAAAAAAAATAATTCTGAATTTTGACCCTAAAACCGGACCTGAAATTATTTTTTGAAATGGTGTAGATGCATACAATTATAAGTATTGACATATCTGTAGCTTTTAGAAATATACTTCTTTAAATAATTTTAAATATACCGTAATAAAATTAATAAAACTCCGTCCGTTTCCAGTTTGTACCTCCAAAATGCTCAAAAATAACAATTTGGACTTATAATTTCAGTAGTAAAATCGTCTGCGCAAAAATAAAATGTACATTATTGGATTCAGTTTTTTGTGCTCTTTTCAAATATAAAAACAAAAATTTCAAATTCAGACATACAGGATGTTGTTTTAAGGATGGACGAATTTATTATTTTTTTGTAAAGACGGACCTGGATTTCGTTTATTGTTTATATCATTTTAGATTTGGTAAGTTGCGGTGAATAAGTACGCCAAATGTCAAAAACATATACAGGGTGGTTAATAAGTTATGAGTCTGGAAAGAAATAGGCCAAATTGATAAAACACCCGGCTATAAAAGTCGAAAGACCCATTAAGTATGGGTTATTTGGAAGCACCTCGGTGGTCTCCATCCATGGTTAAAGGGAGGCCCTTTACCAATGAAACACCCTGTATAACTCGTATTGATAATATTTCGGCAAATGTTTTTATTTCAAACCAAACAAATTCTTTCTTATTTACCTTATTTCGCATTATCAAATTGAAATTGTCAAACCTCGTCTACTCCTTTGTGATAAGAAACATTTTTCTGCGTGTACTCCATATTTATTTATTTTAATTAACCGAAAATGAACACAAAATATCCCGAGGTACGACCGAAAAACCTGTTGAAATTCATTTCATTGAGTGTCGTACACATTTTTAAAACATTCTTCATCCTTTCATAAATAATCTATCGAAAAATCTACATTGTAAAAGACGCCGCGCGTACGGTATTAGCATATTCTTTATCAATGTAAATAATGAATATGGGCAGGTATTCAGAGAAAATTAAAATGGACCATTAAGCATT